GAATCCATCTGGTCCTGAACTTTTTTTGTTGGTAACTAAAATTACTATTTTAATCTCACTGCTTTTATTGATCTGTTCAGGGTATCTAATTCTTCCTGATTTAAGCAAGGAAGGTTGTATCTTTCCAGGAATTTATCTATCTCATCTAGGTTTTCTAGTGTATGTGCATAAAGGTGTTCAAAGTAGCCTTGAATGATGTTTTGTATTTCTGTGGTGTCCATTGTAATATCTCCTATTCTATTTCTTATTGAGGTTATTTGGATTTTCTCCCTTTTCTTGGTTAATCTTGCTAATTTTACTTATCTTTTCAAAAATCAGTTTTTGTTTTATTTATCTTTTTTGTTTCAGTTTTATTTAGTTCTGCTCTAATCTTGGTCATTTCCTTTCTTCTGCTGAGTTTGTGTTTAGTTTGTTCTTGTTCCTCTAATTCTATGAGGTATGACCTAAGATTGTCAGTTTGTGCTTTTTTCCGTCTTTTTGATGTAGGTATTTGGACCTATGAACTTTCCTTTCAGCATCACCTTTGCTATATCCCAGAGATTTTGATAGTCATTCAGCTTGAAGAATTTTTTAATTTCCATCTTGATTTTGTTTTTGACCCAATGCTCATTCAGGAACAAGTTATTTAATTTCCACATATTTGCATGGTTTTGAAAGTTCCTTTTGGAGTTGATCTGCAGTTTTATTCCTCTGTGATCTGAGAGAGTGCTTGATATAATTTCAATTTTCTTAAATTTATTGAGGCTCATTTTGTGGCCTATCATATAGTCGATCTTGGAGAAAGTTTCATGCACTGTTGAATAGAGTATATATTCTGCAGTTGCTGGATGAAATGTTCTGTATATACCTGTAGAGTTCATTTGTTCCAAGGTATAGTTTAAATCCGTTGTTTCTTTGTTGGCTTTCTGTCTTGATGACCTGTTTAGTGTTGTTAGTGGAGTATTGAAGTTCCCAACTCTTATTGTGTTGCTGTCTGTCTCATTTCTTAGGTCAATTAGTAATTGCTTTATACATTTGGAAGTTCCAGTGTTAGGTGCATATATGTTTAAGATTGTGATAGTTTCCTGTTGGACAAGGCCTTTTACCAATATGTAATGTCCCTCTTTGTCTTTTTTAACTGCTGTTGCTTTAAAGTTGGTTACATCTGATAAGAGAATAATTACTTCTGCTCACTTTTGGTGTCCATATACATGAAATGCCCTTTTCCATATCTTTACTTTAAGTTTATATGAATCCTTAGGTGTTAGGTGAGTTTCTTCAAGGCAGCAGATAGTTAGTTGGTGAATTCTTATCCATTCTACAGTTCTGTATTTTTTAAGTGGAGCATTCTATAAGGCCAGTTACATTCAATGTTTTAGTATTGTGATGTGAGGTGCCATTCCATTCATCATACTATTTGCCTGTGTACCTTGGTTTTTTGTTTTTTAAATTGTATTTTTATTTTATAGGTCCTGTGAGATTTATGCTTTAAAGAGGTTCTGTTTTGATGTGTTTTCCAGGATGTGTTTTCAAGATTTAGAGCTTCTTTTAGCAGTTCTTGTAGTGGGGGCTTGGTAATGGTGAATTTTCTCAGCATTTGTTTGTTTGTTTGTCTGAAAAAGACTGCATATCTCTTTCTGATATGCTGGTTAGTTTCACTGGATACAAAAATCTTGGCTGATAATTGTTTTGTTTGAGGAGGCTGAAGATTGGGCCCCAATCCCTGCCAGCTTGTAGGTTTCTGCTGAGAAATCTGCTGTTAATCTGATAGGTTCTCCTTTATAGGTTACCTGGTGGTTCTGTCTCACAGCTCTTAAGATTCTTTCCTTCATCTTAACTTTAGATAATCTGATGACAATGTGCCTAATTTCCCAGTGATGAATTTCCTAGGTCTTCTTTGTGCTTCTTGTATTTGGAAGATAGGTCTCTAGCCAGGCCAGGGAAGTTTTCCAAATATGTTTCAAACTTTTATATTTCTCTTCTTTCTCAGGAATGCTAATTATTCTTAGGTTTGGTCATTTAACAGAATCCCAGACTTCTTGGAGGCTTGTTAATATTTTCTTAGTCTTTCTCTTTTTCTAGTCTTTGTTTGATTGGGTTAATTCGAAGACCTTGTCTTCAAGCTCTGAATTTCTTTCTTCTATTTGTTCAGTTCTATTGCTGAGACTTTCCAGAACATTTTGCATTTCTATAAGTGCATTTAGTGTTTACTGAAGTTTTGATTTTTTTTTAATTTATGCTATCTATTTCATTAAATATTTCTCCCTTCACTTCTTGTAACATTTTTTGGATTTTTTTGTATTGGGCTTTGCCTTTCTCTGATGCCTCCCTGATTAGCTTAATAATTAACCTCCTGAACTCTTTTCCAGGTAAATCAGGAATTTCTTATTGGTTTGGATCCATTGCTGGTGAGCTACTGTGATTTTGGGGGGTTGTTAAAAAACCTTGTTTTGTCTTATTACAGGAGTTGGTTTTCTGGTCCCTTCTCATTTGCATAGGCTCTGACAGGGAGAAGGTCTGAGGCTGAAGGCTATTGTTCAGATTCTTTTGTCCCATGGGGTATTCCCTTGATGTAGTACTCTCCCCCTTTTGCTAAAGATGTGACTTCCTGAGAGTCAAACTGTAGTGATTGTTGTCTCTTTTCCGGATCTAGCCACCCCACAAGTCTACCAGCCTTCATGCTGGCATTGGGGGTTGCCTGTACAGAGACCTGTAATGTAAATCATCTATGGGTCTCTCAGCCATGGATACCAGCACAGTATTTGGGATGTCTCCCTGGTCCTGCAGGAGACATCCTCTTCCTTCAAAGGATCTGTGGGTTCTCTCAGGTTTGCTGATTTATTTCTGTTGTCATTCTGTATCTAAAATTAAGGATGCAGGCCTCCACACACTGCTTTGTCTGTCCGAGTCAGAGCTGCAATCAGGCCTGCCTCCTGTCTGCCATGATGGACCTAAAATATATTATTTTGCATTTTTTTCCTTGCTTAATTGTTTTGTCTCTGGCATTTATTTTTGTTAGTATTATTATAAATTGAACATATTTTTTGTATTGTTGACAACTATGCCATTAGTACTTAATACAGAGCCTATCATCACCTGACATTAGCTGTTAATACTTTACCATATCATAAAGAAATATTGATCTATTCCTATATCTAATTACAATCTTTTAATTATTTTGTATGTGCTGATATCTCACTTGTTTTATTTGTCCAATATTTAATTAATACTTCACAGATTTTGGTACCCAGCATTTATTCCCATTTGTTCTGACAAGTACAGCCTAATTTCCTCCAAAAAGTCACCATTATCTAATTCTTAATTTATGTACAAGGGTGGAGCTCACTGAACTCCCAGCTTCAGGAGTTGACCTGTGTCCTACATCTGGGAAATGGCAAAAATTACATCAACTCAGCTAGAGTGAAGTTCTGTGGTAGCCTTGTGATGTAGGAGAAACCAACTGTGTGAATGACTGACACATTTCCAATCAAAGCTAATCTCATCATTTTTACTTCACTGTCCAGGAAACGATCTTCCCCTCCTTCCTCTTTCCTGGTGGACTTGAAGCTGTGAGGAGGTAAGTTTGCTGCTATCATATCCTTTGCATGTCCAAGTCAAAGTTTACCTCAAGTTGGGTCAATCCCTGATGTTTTAAATATATAAAGGCAAGAAAAGAGAATTAACTGCAATAACTGGGAAAAATCCTTCAATGACTTCCTCTCTAATTCAGAATAAAAGCCAGAACTCATATTAAATCCTATAAGCCCTTACATCACCTGATTCTTGTTCTCTCTTGGATTTTGTAAAACATCCTAACTTATATCCTGACATATTGCCTTGAGATTATTTAAAATGGCATGAGAATGCCTTCTCTTGGTTTAAAGTAGAGGATATATAAACTTTTTAAGGTTAACACTTACATAAGCAACCTAAGATTAGTGCATTTTTAGTTGTAAAAAGTTAATGTAAATATCAGGTGCTTCATGTAAGATACTATGATTTCAACTTGTAGAGACTACATCATTTATTTCATGTCATGCGATTTTAAGTGTATTCTCCATTTGGTTATTCTAGGTTCTCTCTACATGTGATTAGGAGGTAAAGCAGTAGGAAAATGTCCATGAGCACTTTGCCTTCTTTTGCTACATTTACAATAAAAGTAGTTTCCTTTTTATTTATTTATTTATTTTTGAGATAGGGTATGGCTCTGTCACCCAGGCTGTAGTGCAAAGATGTGATTCTGGCTCAATGCAACCTCTACCTCCTTGACTTAAGTCATCCTCCCACCTCAGTCTTCCAATTAGCTGGGTCTACAGGTGTGCACCACCTGGCTTATTTTTGTATTTTTTGTAGAGACGAGGTTTCATTGTGTTGCTCAGGTTGGTCTCGAACTCCTGAGCTCAGGCAATCCACCCACCTTGTACTCCCAAAATGCTGGGATTATAGGCATGAGCCAATGCACCTGGCCAAAATAATTATTCTTCATATGCACAACTTGCAAGCTGTGGGCAGCTTATCATTGTGTTGCCTCGGTTTCTTCATCTATGAAAATTACAATAGTACCTACTTTATAGGTTCTTATGAAGACTATAGGTATTAATACTTGTAATCACAGAGTGAAGATTGACACTGCTAGGTGATATATAAAGAATGGTGAATGATACTGATAGGTGATATATAAAGAATTATTAAACAAATACAATGAAAACAAATAACAAAATAAAAATAATTTTAAAAGCTAAAGATTAAGGTAAGTCTTAATATGAGCACATAAGCAGTCATCCTTGTAAATATGCAGGAAAAGAAACAGATAGGGGTGTCCACAGAGTTCAGAATTTTAAATAAGTGCACTAAGTATAAGAATAATGTCCACATGGGACACAAAGAAACTGTACTATCCTGAAATTCAGTAATGTTCATTAACTTTAGTGAAGTTTTAGAAGTGGCAATTTATATTACTCTTTCAAATTTAATATCAAAATAATCTAAGATTCTCTAAAAATGGAGTCATCTTCCCACAAGCCTATTTTCCATGGAGTCATTGTGAGATATGCAAAATGAGGTTCCAACTATATGGCACAGTTTTCCACTGTGAATAGTAATATGCAGTTAGGATAAAGTAGTGAATCTTTCTAAGAGAGGAATATTTAACTTCTACAGCTGTCATGTTGAGAATGACGTGGGGCAGAACAGGGCATCCTGAGTCAGGCTGGAAGGATAATCCTCCTGCAGGTAATCAGCTGTGCACCCATGTGATATAAATCAATTTTGTGTTTAGGAAAAACTCAGTGAGGGTCACGTAGTGGCTTTGATGTATATTTGGAAACCAGTACTGTTTTCAGTTTTGATGATAGCTCTCCGATGGCTCTCTGAGAGGATTTTTAGGATGGAAGAAACACAGTAGGAGACAAGAAAAAAACTATAATCTAAGCCAATGTAGTGTAACACAAGTGCATGCAATCAGATAATTTTAGAATGCTACTGACCAGATTGAATGGCAAGCTCCCATGCATTCTATATACAAAGCATCAAAAAGTTATTTAAAAATGTGCCACCCTGTCGTTAATCTTCATTGTAAACACATTCATAGCACCAAAGGATAGCTTTGTTTTAAAAATATAGCAACAATTTACCAACAGCAGACACCATAAATATTGTCCTTCAGATCTTCAATTTAGGTCATTATCTACGCCAATTCCTTTCCTTTAGATCATCTCAACTTGTATTAATGAGGCATAGAGGCAATTTGATTCTATTTGCTTAATGATTGCAAGTGGCTGCTTTGTTGGGTTGAAGTAGGCCAAGAATTGCCTTTGCAGTGGCTGGTATGTACCTGTCTGAGTTCGAGGGCTCTGGCAATTAACAACAGTGGTTAACCATCAATTTGCCCTGTGAATAGCAAGAATAAAATCAAGTTATAAGGTCTTGAGTATATATGGTGATATCATTGATAACTTCTCACTATAAGTAGTCCAAGCTCTTCAGGTAGGTACAAGATATTTGGGACTAAAAATGATTTGTTTTTTAAAAGTGTATTGATCCAGTATTTTTTTTTCTTTAGACTCACTGAGGCAACATGAAGGCTTCACACTAAGTTAAATTTGTGTTATCATATATTTCTGTCCCCTTCCTCCTCTGAAATCTAATTTCTCTTCACTCATCCTATATATCAAAGATTATAAGAAAAGTAATAATAATTAAAGATTAAAGAATATTTAGACTTGTGATTCTTTCAATGATAAAGAAATGGGTAATCAACAATAAGCAATTTGTAAGTGTACTATATAATCAGCCTTGCTGCAAAAAGTGTTCTCTATTGAGAAAATATGCATTCAACTATTATAAGTAATTTATATTTATAAAATCAAATTAAACACACTTATAAATGTAAGAGAGGCCTCAAAGGGCTTCAAAGGGCTTTGATCACTGTTATAACAGTATAATAGGGATTTCTATAGTCTAGGTTGTAAAATGATAATACTGAATACAATATGCAAAGCCAGGGCGAATCAAGAGTTCTAACAGTGATGAGTCACCCTTACATTATGCAGTAAATTGGATCATAGAGCATGAAACAGATTCAGGAAGAACCATCTCGGGTGTTCAGTGACCATTAAAAATCTACAATTTATCTTAGTTTAAATTAACTGTTTTTAAAATTTGCCATTTTCCACAACTCGTTTTTCCTGATTCTGAGTCCTGATCTTATAAACTTGCATTACTCTCTGGAAAGGATTTCAAGAGAGATATACTTTTATCTTTAATAAAAAATAAATTATCAGAGATGATCCAAGATGGCCGACCACTAACAGCTCAGGATTGTAGCTCCCAGTGAAAGCTCAGAGAACGAGACGACGCCACAACTTTAGATGAATTTTCGTCACTCACCGATTAGCCGATTCCCAGTGGAGGAGCCCCACGGGTCGCCAGCGCGACTCTTGTGGCCGCCGCAGCAGTTTTGCCGGCATCTCGGCGCAGCAGCTCTTCATGCAGAGCCAAAGGGACTGCTTCCCGTACTGACCGGAGTTTGGAGCTCTGGGAAGTCAGAGCCGCTTGTTGCGGACTCAAGAGGGAAGCCAGACCAGAGATTCCTGGGCAGAAGAGCACCATCAGTCTTATCGCTGCTATTTAGGCTGCCACAGTGGGTTGCTCGGATCCCAGCACTGGGAATCAATAAGTCGGGCGTCGACTCAGAAACCTAATTAGAAAGGCGGTTCATCTACAACGAAGGGGAAAAAACAGCCTAAGAAGGCCGAGTATACTCAAAATCAGAACCCATCAGCAACGGAACAAGCCCTGATGGAAAAGGACTCATCAGCAACTGAACAAGCCCTGATGGAAAAGGACTCATCAGTAACGGAACAAGCCCTGATGGAAAAGGACTGTGTTCCATTATCTAAAGTAGGCTTTAAAAAGTGGATGATAAGAAACTTCTGGGAGTTAAAGGAACTTGTTCTAACCCAATGTAAAGAAACTAAGAACTTGGAAAAAAGGTTCGATGAAATGTTGAAAAGAATAGACAATATAGAGAGGAATACAAATGAACTTATGGAGTTGAAAAATACAACACAAGAACTTGGTGAAATATGTACAAGCTTAAACAGCCTAATGGATCAAGCAGAAGAAAGGGTATCAGAGGTAGAAGACCAACTTAATGAAACAAAACGACAAGACAAGAATAGAGAAAAAAGGATAAAAAGGAATGAGCAAAGTCTCCAAGCAATATGGGGCTATGTGAAAAGACCTAATATACGCTTGATTGGTGTACCTGAATGTGATGGAGAGAATGAATCCAAGCTGGAAAATACTCTCCAGGACATTATCCAGGAAAATTTTCCTAATTTAGCAAAGCAGGACACTATTCAACCCCAGGCAATACAGAGAACATCACAAAGATATTCCTCAAGAAGACCAACTCCAAGGTACATAATCGTTAGATTCACCAAGATCGAAATGAAGGAGAAAATATTAAGGGCAGCCAGAGAGAAAGATCAAGTTACCCATACAGGTAAGCCTATTAGGCTTACAGCAGATCTCTCAACAGAAACCCTACAAGCTAGAAGAGAGTGGGGGCCAATATTCAATATACTTAATCAACAGAACTTTCAGCCCAGAATTTCATATCCTGCCAATTTAAGCTTTACATTTGAAGGAAAAATAAAATCTTTTAGGAACAAGCAAGTACTCAGAGATTTTATTACCACCAGGCCTGCTTTACAAGAACTTCTAAAAGAAGCATTATACACAGAAAGGAACAACCAGTATGACCCTTTCTAAAAATACACCAAAAAGTAAAGAGCATTAATATAAAGAAGAATTTTTATCAACGAAAGGACAAAATAGCCAGTTAATATCAAATGGCAGCAACCCTAAATTTAAATCGACCAAATCTCCCAATCAAAAGATACAGACAAAATCTAACGGTATATCCAAAGATATACATAGACTCAAAATAAAGGGTTGGAAAAAAAAAAAAACATACCAACCAAATGGAGAGCAAAAATAAATAAATGAAAAGCAGGAGTTGCAATTTTCACATTTGACAAAATAGATTTCAAAGCTACAAGGATACAAGGGTAAAAGGATTAGTGTAATAATAAGAGATCTTAACACCCAGATACATAAGACCCATAATGAGATTTAGATTCAACGAGACAGAAAATTGATAACAATATCCAGGACTGGAACTAAGATCCAGAACAAATAAACTCAATAGAGCTCTCCATTTTAAACACACAAAATATACATTATCCACAAAATCTAACGATATATCTAAAGATATACAAAGACTCAAAACAAGGGGATGGAAAAAAACTCACCAACCAAATGGAGAGCAAAAATAAATAAAAAAGCAGGAGTTGCAATTCTCACACTTAATAAAATAGATTTCAAAGCTACAAGGATGCAAGGGTAAAAGGATTAATGTAACAATAAGAGATCTTAACACCCAGATACATAAGACACATAATGAGATTTAGATTCAACGAGACAACAAATTGATAACGATATCCAGGACTTGAACTCAGAGCCAGAACAAATAAACACAATAGAGGTCTCCATTTTAAACACATAAAATATGCATTAACCACTTTAAACACTCAAAATATTGATCGGCCATTATTGAAACCCATTCTAGGAATGAAGTAATATTCCTTTTTCCCTCTTTTTCTTTTTTTCCCCTTCTTTTTCTCTTTTTCCTTCTTTAAAATAATAATAATAATAATAGAGATGACTAAAAATACAAGCAGACAAAAAAATTAATAAATAAATTATCATGGGAAATAGGGGAGGGACAGCGGGGGATGGGGAGTTGGGGAGAGATAGCATGGGGAGCAATGCCAGATATAGGCGATGGGGAGAAAGGCAGCAAATCACACTGCCACGTGTGTACCTATGCAACAATCTTGTATGTTCTTTACATGTACCCCAAAACCTAAAATGCAATAAAAAATTTAAGAAATTGAAAAAAAAAAACTAACATTTTTTTCTGATTTTAAAAATCAGAAAAAAATAAATAAAATAAGCCAGGAAGAAGGAAATAAAGAGTTGAAGCCCACTGCTATGGCTACTGAAATAATTGATGCATTTTATCTTAATACTTAATTGGAAATTTTCTGTTTCTTCACTTTGTATCTTGCTATTAATTTTCTTCATTTTTAAAATATATAATAGCTTTATGGTAGCATATATCTCATATTATTTTTCTTCATTACTAAAATTGATTTGGCCCTTCTAAGTCTTTATTTCATGTAAATTTTAGAATTGGCTTGTCGACATGTCAAATCAAAAAGGACTTTCTTGAATTTTGGTTAGGAGGGTATTGAATCTGTAGCTCTACAAGGGAAAAATTGCCGACTTAACAATACTGAGTATTCTAATCCATTAACAGAATATACCTCCGGTCTTCATTAGCATGTCTCAGCAAGGTTTTGTGATTTTCTGTCAACTGCAGAACTTCCTTTGACATTCATTGTATTGCTTTTTTTATGGTACTAAATCTTCTCAGATCTTTTTGTCTGTTGTCCAAATATATCTCTATTTTACCTTAAGTTTTAATGAATATTTTCAAATGATATGGATCTCATGTTTACAGTTTTTGCCTTCAAGTGCTCTAATGATGTCTTATGACTATCTTCTGGCTTACATAATGTCTTATGAGAAGTCTGAAACTATTCTTATCTTTGCAATAATGTATCTCCCCCCGCCCCCCCGCTATTAAAATGATCTCTTTC